CAGGCGCTTGATGGAGTAGTGCAGTACCCCGCCATAGATTAAGCGAACGATGACTGTAACGATGAGGAGAAGGACGAGAAGGAAAATAGAGATGATGTAGACGAGGGAAGACATGGAAGGAGGAGGAGGAGGGAGGAGGAGGAGGAGGAGGGAGGAGAAGGGGGAGGGGGAGACGGTAAGAGAGCGGGGGGGCTGGAAGCGGGCGGGGAGGTAGGGACCAATGGTCTGCGAGGGAGGGAGCGGGGCAGAGAGCGAGGAGAGAGATAGAGGGGGGGACTGCGGGAGCGACGGCGGGAGGGAAGGTTTCTCTCCCTTTCAACCTTGCAAGTCTGTACAACAGGACACGCACGGCGAGCCTGACTGGCTGGACCCAGGAGGAACGCAGCGAGGCTGTGACGGGGCGCCTGAAGCCAGACCCGCCCCAGAATCCCAAGGCATCGCGGCCCCTCACAGCACACGCGACCAAGGGGCCAAGCTACACCTGGACGGGGGCCGAACGAGTTGTGACATTGCACAACAGAGAAGGAATGGGCTGCACCACAGCTGATGACCGTGGCGAGGAGTCGGGCATCGCACGCCTGCCACCCAGACACAAGCAGCATGGGGGGCCACGAGGCCCCCAGCGACAGCCTGCGTCAAGGGAAGCACATCAGAGAAAACGTTAGCGGGCTCACCATCTTCTACATCGCCAAGGAGGCGAAAGAGAGGGGCCGTGTCTAGTGCTTCTTGCTCTCCCTGAAGAGACCGCCTGATGAAGGACAGAGAAGTGGCCCTTGTTACTCTGTCTAGCTGAGCCGACCGGATGAGAGACTCAGCAGCTGCTTCAATTCTGCTCTCCTTGGCAGGGAATGGCAGATCCGAACAAGAAGCACGAGCAGTAGCACAACCGGTGGGGCCGGGAGTCCCCATCCAGATTGTCGGGGCGATGAACAGAAACATTGGGCCGCCTGGGGTGCTTACCCCTGCAGGTCATAGGCCACGCCCACTTCCCAAACCTGGAGGGGGGAACACTTGCTATCGAGAGCTGCCGCTCGACTGTGGGCAGTCTAGGCCTTACAGGCAGCACAAATCACGAAAGCGGATGGAGCCGTCACTGCACGACAGGAGGACTCATTTGTGGTCATTGTCATTGTCAATTGTGGTGTGTCATTTGTGGTCATTGTCAGACGAGATGACAGCACCTGGACAGCGTTTTGGAGGAGATTTCCTAGGCCCGTGCTTCCTTTTGACTTGCAAACACTTCGCACATCTCCAAAAGGTGTCAAAACAAGCCGCCAGCGGCGCCTGGCCGCAGAGTCGGCTGCCTTGGGAGGTTTGGGCGGAGGAAGGTGCTCGACATCTCCAGACTCACCCAGCGGCTTCCACATGGGGCAACAATTTCATGCTCAGAAGGCAAAACGCCCTGGCATACTTAAGCTTGAGCTTTTTTTCTCATCTGCTACTATAGGGATCTAGGGCTAGGTGAAGCGAGCGAGCTAATTCGGCAGCCTGCTCTGCCATATCGTACCCTTCCATGGAAAATCGCCACTCGTCCAAAAAATCCTAATCTCCAGTAATTTGGTGCGCAGGCACATGTGTGACGCCCTGGACGTGCCGAAACGAGTTGCGCGCGCTGCGCACGTACGCCGCTCAGCATACTGCACAAAGGAGGGCAAAGAGTACGAGCCAATTTCATTGTTACAGTCTGTGGCGATAGAACTTGGTCCTGTCATGAGCTGCATGGCAGCTACGCATCCACAGAACTCGCCAGGTTGGGGAGTTTTGGAAAGATGAGACCAGACAGGTCCTGTGACGCTGCAAGCAGGATCACAGTTGTCGCATAGCACGACACTCCACAAGGCTCGGTTCATCTCACGCACCAAACAGCGAGCGCAAGAACTGCCCACGAAAATCAAATAGTCTGGGTAAGGGGGGGTCAACATACCAGTGAGAGTCCCGAGCCCGATCATCCATGTGCGTGGGAGGCGGTACACGATCTCCTGGGTGGGGGAGGGCCCCGCGGGTGAGGACGCAGAGCTCGTCGCTCCCTCGAGACGCGAACTCGACGGCACAGTCGACTAGCTCCGCAGGTACACGCTCGCGTCATCCGAACTCTGTGGCATATGCTGTCTGTTGTGGCCCAGCACTTGTCACATCCCTCTGGGAACTGATAACCTTGAATTCTGGCAAACATCCTAGTCCAAATCGCTTCACCAGCGGCCGCGCGGAGCGTGCTCTTCTCCGAAGGGGTAGACTCCTCAGAGACCAAGCAAGCGCTGACCACATCGTACGAGAGCAGACGCGTGCAATTGTGCTTTGCATGAATGTCCCTTTCCAGCTGCCTCAAGACCGAACTCCTGAGATGGGCCATGAGGAGGCGGGAGAGGTGAAGAAAAGTTCATGAACATTTCCTGGGTCGTATTGCATGGCACAGAATGCGGGTATTGACCACCCCAGCCTGGATAGGGTCATCAACTTGGCTTGGCCGAGATACGCCCAGCAAGTAAACGCCAAGTTGGGA